CATTTTGAGATTGATATAGATTTTAGATATAAATCATGATCTTGTAAGCTAGAGTGTATTTGGAGATTTTATGATATGAGAGCAAATTTGATCTTCAGATTGTGATGGTATCAGATTGTGGTGTGATAAGTTCCGAGCCTTGTGCATTTGTGGGTCCCTCTCACGAGTGCACGGCGACTGTCGCGTCCCCGGATTTGGGTTATAGGGCGTGACAGATTTTGTGGTATCAAAGATTAGGTTTAAATTAAGAGCTTAGGATTAAATTAAGCGCCTCTAGATTGAGTGGCATCAGAGCAGATTGAGTGGTATCGAGCTTAGGTTTAATTAAATACCTAGGTTTAATTGAATACCTAGGATTTGTTTAGAACTTGGCTAGCCAATGGATTTTAGAGCCGTGGTAAGATGAGTGATGGGGTTATATAAGGGACGATTCTGATTCATGTTACCTGAATTTTCTAATCCATTTTAATGAGATGGTAATCTGATTGTTCTTGTTTCCTACCTTCATACCCTGTGTAGCTTCATGAAATTAATTTTGTCCGCCATGTTTTTAAGACCTTGTTTTGAAACTTGGTCTTTCTGATAGTTTGCACTTGTTTAGACTTGTTACTTGAATATAATTTTTTGTATGCTCTTTTGCCACAATCGTAAAATCTGGGGAGTTGCAAAGATCTTTTGCTATTGATCCTGTTGATCTCTACAGCATAACAGGTTGAGAAATTTGTTCTGTTTGTCACATGACCAGTGGAAGATGGACAACCCTCTACCTTGTAAGAGATTCAAGGCCATTTAGAAAATGTTGTGTTCTCTAGATGCGTTTTAGGAGCTGGATAACTCGGTAATTTCGCTGCTCATCATCTTTTTGAAAGTCTTATAGTGAAGTTTCACTTTTTCCATTTGGAGCTTCATGGTGTTTTCATGTGGCTCATTTTTCTATATTGGTTAATCAAAAACAATGATCCATTCAATTGAAATTGCCTTGTTTTTGTGAAGATTGGCAAGCTGTCATAAAGTTAAACTCTCTATTGTTGCCAATCTGTACATTCTTGATACTTGAAAATTGCTTGAAACTCTTGAAATCCGTCTTGAATTTTTCTTGAAATTGTTTTGTACTTATTCTTGAAATTGAAATCCAAAGGAAATAGATAATAATTATTAAAATCCTCATTATCTTCATACTTGTCTGAAATTAATTCTTGCACTGTTCTTGGAATTTATTTTGAGTTGTCCTTAAAAATGTTCTTGTTCTGACACTGGTTCTTGCTCAAATTCTGTATACTACTCTTGCTCAAATCTTGCATATTTTGCTAGTTCTTGTTTTAGTATACCTGTTGATCTTCTTGATTTTTTATTTTTGTTCATATGGCCACCTCTTTAGAAAGGGTGATGATTATTAGAAAATACCTATATGAGGCATCCTGATTCCTGTCTCTTGCAAGTGTTAATCTCTATATCCTTGATGTCTTGACTTTGACTTGACTCTAAGATGACCTGATTTTAAATCTGCTTAGCCTCCATGGGCTACGAGGTGAAGGGGTAGTCTTTGAAGTACCTGATGCCCTAGAGTTTTGTTCTATTAATTAATTCTAGTACTTGAGGTGCTAGATCTTGACATGCTGATTATATCTGCTCTTGAATCCTTTTTCTGGTTGTCATTATTGAAATCTCTTTGTGGGTCTAATCCTTGAATTCTATTGCTTGTTTCATGGTTAACTATTGTCTCTCCATTTTGACTGCTTGGTTAAATTTGATCTTGATTCTTGGTGAATGCTGTTTTGTTGCTGAATTTTTTGAGGCATTCTACCTTGCACTCTTATGTTTCAGTATTCTTCCAAGCATTCATATTTTCCACTGATTTCATTCTAATGCTATTGTGGAAATTTCACATGTCATTTGATGAGTTTAGCTTTTAACTCTTGTTAATTGCTAAAATCTGTCTCTTGATTCCAGTTGCTTTGTTAAACATGACCTTGCTTATTGGTTAACCTTGTTGTGGCAGAATTTATAAGGCATCCGTGCACTCGTTCATTCATTCATGATCCATATATCCATTGGATGCTTATCCGTCTTTGATAGAGTTCAAAGTTTTGTTGTACTCGTGTTTAAATCCATGCCATTTTTTGCCAACTCATCTTGTGTTGGATTCATAACGTAACCCCACAAGTGTTCTTTTGTAGCCTTGGCAGGATTTATTTCTATTCCTTGTACTTCTCATATCACCCCAACCTCCAGTAGATTGTTTCATGGTAAATTTCATTAAGTAGTTAATGTTCTACTCTTATGATTAGTTGTGGTTTGATATCAGAGTGGCACAGCGGAAGCGTAGTAGGTTATGTTCTGTCCATAAAAAGTTGGTGAGGCAATTGTTTTGTCTCGGATTGTGTGAAGCCATTCACCAGTCTAGATGATCCCTCATTTGAGTTTTGGGGACAAAACTCCTTTTTAAGAGGGGTGGATGTGATACCCCAAAAATTTCTAGAATAAATAAGAGTTAGGGACTGAATTGTGGAAAAATATTGTTTTGGGATTAATAGCCAAAATTTCAAAAGTTGAGGGACTTAAAGAGGGAAAATAATTGGATAAGGATCGAGTGATTTTTTCTTCCTTCTTTCTTTCTTCAACCCGCGTGTTCTGCTCTTCTTCTTCTTCCCTGCAGCTGGCAAAGCCCCCAAGCCCGACAGCACCCATCCCTTGAGAAAAACCGGTAAGAAGCTTGGATTTTCCCCTTATTTTCTTATTCAATAACCAGATTTAAGCTTGGAATTCCCCCCCCCCCCC